AATGAAATGGTCCCACATAGACTTAAACTATACCTCAGCCCTTCCTACACAAATTTATAAAACTGATGCGAGCCTTTTTACTTTTGTGATTTTTACGAGCAAAGTGTGTTTGCCTCAGCTCGGGGCACTGATTTCCGTCATTTTACAGCTACCGATGCGCGCTCCGGTTTTTGTGAATTTTCTGGGAGAAAGAAGCAAGTATAGGAAAAAACAAAACCTTACCAAGTTTCTATGTTCACTTTAAGGTGTCTCTGGATAAAATATGAAGGTTTCCGATTTTTCGACCATGTGCCACATTTTTCGATTTTCACTCGGTCAACTCACTAAGTCGCTCTTAATATTTATAAATCATGGTTATGCTAATTTATGTAATGACTTACTCCAACTCTTCACACAGAAAATTGTCATTTACCCATTGCAGTTTATTAGCTTTTTTCTATATCATTGGAAAATAAGGTAGAAAGAACAATTATATAGTGAATTTAATATAAATATACTAAAGTAGAAAAGAAGACGGTCAAAAAGGGAACTGAACTATCCATTTACCTGAGCCTTTTATGGTCTTATGAATGGTCGGCAGGTGCATTTAGATGCATGTAAACGTGGTCGTAACCACGTTTCAGAATCGTGCGTACTGTTAGGTTAATGATTTTATCATAAGAGAATGGTAGGATATGGTGGAGTGCTTCTCGAAAAATATGCGAACTGTCTCACAGATTCTTCAGCTGTCTTTGCATTTAGATAGGGCTTCCGAAATATGAAGAAAAAAAAAAACTTAACCACATAAAGATGGCAACGTCTTGAAATAACACGCGCTCTCACTAGCTATAACAGCGTGCCATTTCATGATAGCTAAACATGTATGGTGCAGACATCAGCGGCAATTACGATTTTAGTTTTGTCACAAAGTTTTTTGGGAATTATTTAAATTCTGGTTTCTTTGAAAAACGCAAAGAAAACGAGCTATATATAATATGATTGCATGCGGGCAAATGTTTATAATACACGCCGTAGATAAAACATTGCCTTTAAGTATGATCACGTAGTTAACGAGGAAAACAAGAAAAATATTCTACGCCTTCCGAATGTATGCATAAATTACATTTATTGGAAAGGCAAAATTAGATCAAACACGTCAAAAAACGGACGGAGCAGTTAGTAGATTACCTTTCGCAAAAATATTTAAACTACATCGTTGTTGTTATCTTAATTTATTCGTTTTCCTTTATTCTAGATCATTTCCAAAAACATTTCGAGAAACCCTAAAGGCAATTTGAAACGGCTGGTTGATAACAAAACCATTTTTATCGGCTTTTTGGTATTAATCCGTCAAGTTTTGGGGAAAAACTATTCAGAACTATTGTGTGCTTGTTTGAACATAGCAAATTATTATTAGGATTACAATGTAGGTTGCAATTTCAATCGTTTCTCGATGTGAATAAAATATTCCTACGGTGAAACTCATTCAGCGATAAGGTGTTCGACTGGGTACACTTGCAGTTGTGTGTTTTGTTCTTTGGAAGCATAAAGTCTACACGTAGTCGAACGTCGCACTCCATATCGAACGTGACAACTTTGTTGGACAAGTGATTTCTCTTGATATGCAGATTATTACTGACTAGGGATCGGTCATTACTTACCACCTGGGGGAAAAAAAGAGAACAAGGGGGGGGGGGAGGACTCAGGCCATTTTATTCTTGCTACAATAGGTTTATCAATTCCCTTCTTTGGCTGTTTAGTAGTCTAATTATCCCCTCTCATTGGAAGTGAATTGTCCTTAGTCCCTCTCTTGATACTCTGTTAGCGACGATTAGTCCCCTCTCCGTTCCCCCTGCAAAACATGTGCTCCCCCCTGCAAAAATCCTTCTTACCCCTCCCAGGTGATAAATAATGACTGGTTCCTTACCGCATTCTGATTGACTATGAACCCCATAGTCTAACATGAAATATGCCTCCGTGCCACTGAAATACTTATTTTAATATATTAGCAATGAAAACAAGGAACACTCATATCCAATAGAGAAATTGATAGGTCTGTCAGTTTTTTAAAATAAAACGACTTATGAAGCCTTGGTGAGCTATTATGCCCATTTATTATTTTAAGAAATGAAAAACGTCACACGTTTTGTCAATATCACCCTCTAGTGCGTGGCATACGCCAGTTAGATCTACCTCTCTGCACCACTTAGAGACGACCAATAGAGAACAAAAAAAAGTACTTATTACCACAGAATTATTTCAAGTGGAGATGTAATTGCTTCAAGGCAATTTTTGTGATGCCAGCGCTCCGAAAAAAATCTTTAATTGGATGTCAACGGGCTAGATAAACAAAGCTGACAACTGTCGGTGATTAAATGTGACATGGAAACTAAGTAAAACCTGTCGCCACTAATATCTTTAGCCTGAGGCTATACTATTGAAGAACGTTCTGTTTTTCGTTATGTTTTGCGAATCCCATACCACAATTACAATTCGAATGAAATATTTTCTGGAAATGTCAATTTCATGGCTTTTGTTTCTTTTATTTTAGTTAAAAGGCTAATTTTGACAAAACTTCAGTAGAGAGACCTGACCTCAGTAATTTGCATAACAGTCAACTTCCCGCATCATATGCCAGAACTGGTTAAACCGCTGCTTCTCACCCAAAACAACAGCAGGTGACTGAGCTTTAAATATTCCTGAAAAGAAAATTCTCAAAAGCCTTACATTTATATTAGTAAAAGATATTTTGAACCGATCTACAGTTACTGAAGGTTGCGTTTGGTTCAGCTGACAGGAACTCAATTCACATAACGGAAGCAAATGATGACGACGAGATGCTGCTCCCAGTTGTTGGGAATATTCCTGTTGTCGATAACCCTGTTGAGTGAGTACTAAAGTTATCTTTAAAGGGTTGAATTAATTCAGCGTATGTCATTATTGTATTCCGAGGAGTCGAGGTTATATATGGCTGTCGGGCGACTAGTCTTCGAAAAGAAATATGGTAAAAACAGAGACCTCTAGAAATTAGAATGGTTTTAAATTATTTTATGCTTTGTGA